GGAGCATCTTCCTCGTTACTTCATGTGCCGAGGTGAGACATACTAGAAGGCCGTTTGCAGGGGCTTGTTCGGGGAAGACTATACCTAGCTCCTTAAGTTTGCCATGGATAGTCCGCACCTTGGCGATGTAGTCAACCATTCCCGAGCAATCCTCAAGGCGCCTGAAACATGCCGGGGATGAGGATGGCAACTCCGACCGCGATTTTGTTCATGAACCGATCCTGGAGGTACTTCCAAATAGCGTTGGAGGTAGGGTAGTTGTGGAAAGTGTTGACAAGTTCGGGAGGGTGGAGGCAATGAAGACGCTGATGATAGCAGCATCGGCCTTCTCCCATTTCCGGTACTTTTCAACAACTTCCTCGTACGCCCTCATGTCCAATATCACTAGCGGATTCGGTCGGCTCACGGGGGATTGGGGGTTGTTTTCCCTTGCCAACGGTTGAGGAGGACGTCCTTGAGGTCCAATCCCTGCACGTCACGACTCAGGAGGTGCTTGTCAACCCATAGCTCCATGCCTTGAAGTTGGAGCTAAAGCCATCGGCTTCAACGGGGTGGGGGTGATGGGATTGGGCCATGGTTGGATGAGGCAAATGCCATGATGCGGAGCTCTAGTGTCTCGCGCGAAGCGCCGCTCTTAAGTCATCGATAGTCACGAGCGGCCGCGCAGCGCGGCGATTTTCGAAATCCGACGTGCGCAAACAGCAAAGAATCGTCAATGTCCGGCCGCGTCAAGATGCCTCGTAGAAGGATTTTCAGGCCCGCCGGAGATTAGGTTAAATTGGCCGATTTCCGTATACTAACTCTATTCCCCACACCCCCCCACACGACCACCCCCAGCTTCGCGGCTTACGACTGCTTGCTCGACTTCGGCGGCTACACGCTGCTCGGCTTCGCGGCTACGCTGCTGCTCTGCTGTGCTGCTGCACCTGTTCAGCTGCGGGAAGGGTTGGGGAATGGGCGTAAGAGTGCAGATGCGGAGCGACCGGCGGCAGCCCGACGAGAAGGTTGCGGGGCGACGGGCGACGGCCCGACGAGAAGCTGTGGGGCGACGGGCGGCGGCCCGACGAGAAAGCTGCGGGGCGACGGGCGGCGGCCCGACAAGAAGCTGCGGGGCGACGGGCGGCGGCCCGACGAGAAGCTGTAGGGGCGACGGGCGGGGCGCTGCCCGACGAGGAGAAGAAATGATGCATTGACGTTCGAACGAAAACGAGCGATAGGTTATATGCGGCGACGATGCGCTTACTAGTGAAATAGCAGATGTCGTCGAAGTGACGGGAAAGTGGTGCGGGAATTTCTGGACACCACGAATGTCGTCGTATCACCGGCGACGAGAATGAAGGTGGTTCCGTCGAGGGTTTGCGGGACGGAACATCCACAAAGATAAGAGGATCACGATCCGCGTGTGCGGTTGAAGTGCTCTGATACCATATCAGAACTTAGGTTTAGAAGCGATGCATTAGTAATGAGCTTGAAGCTCTTTAAGTACATCTAAGAAGGGGTAGGGAATAGATGGGAAGGGGATCGAGGCAATCCCTAGGGATTGGGGGTAATCCCAAGGCAATCTCCAATTGGTGGGTTGGAGAATTGCTTGGAGATTACATTTGGGTTTGGTTGGGATGTAGGTGTACAACCCAACCAAACACAAAGTGCAAGCTACACTACTCTAGGATATAGAAAATACAAAGTACAAGTGTGAGATTGAAGGCTAACACTAACAACTACCTTGTTGTCGGTCAGGTCGAGCACCTCCCAGCCCTTGCTCTCCGGCGGCACACCCAGGTGAAGTTCCCAGCAAGCTTTTGGCGCCAGCTTCCCACTGCGCCGCACCCTTCCCCCACTCCCTCAGCAGAATGGCGTTGTAGAGAGTCAAGTTCGCGAGGTCACAAACATCGCTCGCCTGCCGTCGTTGTTACACGCCTCCACTCCCCCTTCCTCTGGGACTATGCCCTACTCCATGCTGCCCTCCTCCTTAACCTTCATTCCCATCCTCAGCACACCACCATCACCCCCAACCGAAATCTGGTCAGGCACCAAACCCCGATGCTGCGGGCCTCCGTGTTTAGGGCTGCAAGGTGTACGTCCCGCGGCCCAAATTGCGGAAGAGAGGCGGGTCAAGCTTTTTAGACTTGACGAAGTAGTATTTGCAAGCTTTGAAAAAGAAGCGCGCCTGCAATTTGGGACTTTTGAGGACTGAACCCATCCCCAGGGCGAAATACCAGGGGCGGGCTGGGTCTGGCGAAAACCCAGACCAGAATTACCCCCTCGTCGCGACAACCTTTTAAAACTTGTGCATTTGGGGCCAACGGCTTAAATCCTCCTCCTGAACCGCTCCACTGGCCAAACACGTCTCTCGTGCACTGGAGTGTGGCTACCTCAATCACAACCGCGACTCACCCTGCTACCTTTTCCTCCACCTCCCTCAGGACGTCTCATCCGTAGCATCGACGTCGTCTTTGACGAATCTATCCCTTACTACTCCACTCCTCCACCTGACCCCCTTCCTCCTCCTTCCCGCCCTCATCACCTGAACTGACACCGTCCTCCCTCCCTTCCTCCCTCCTGCACCCCCTTCTCCCGCCTCTCCCTTCCCCGCTCCCTCCGCCCTCCTCTGCTGACATCTACGATCCCTGCTGCACGTGCTTCACCAGCCCATTCCACTGCCCCTCCTCCTCCCTCTCCCTCCTCCCCTCCTCAACCGTCGCAACAGCAACCGCAGCAGCATCTGCCAGAGCAGCAGCCGGAACTGCAGCAACAGCAGCAGGAACTGCAGCAACAGTAGCAGCAGCAGCAGCAGCAGCAGCAGCAGCAGCAGCAGTAGCAGCAGCAGCAGCAGCAGCAGCAGGGGCAGCAGTCGGCTCAGCAGAAGCAACAGCAGCAGCATCACTCGCAGGGGCAGTAGTCGGGGCAACAGTCGGCACGTCAGCAGCAGCAGCAGCAGCAGCAGCAGCAGCAGCAGCAGCAGCAGCAGCAGCAGCAGCAGCAGCAGCAGCAGCAGCAGCAGGGGCAGCAGTCGGCTCAGCAGAAGCAACAGCAGCAGCATCACTCGCAGGGGCAGTAGTCGGGGCAACAGTCGGCACGTCAGCAGCAGCAGCAGCAGCAGCAGCAGCAGCAGCAGCAGCAGCACCAGCAGCAGCAGCAGCGGCATCAGCGGCAGCAGCGGCAGCAGCGGCAGCAGCGGCAGCAGCGGCAGCAGCGGCAGCAGCGGCAGCAGCGGCAGCAGCGGCAGCAGCGGCACCAGCTCCAGCAACTAGCAGCAGCAGCAGGGGCTCCAGCAACTAGCAGCAGCAGCAGGGGCTCCAGCAACATCATCATCAGCAGCAGCAGCAGCGAAGAGCAACTACTCGCTCCTCACCCTTCCTCCTCCCCCGCATGCATACCCGCTCCCTTGATCCCACCCTTGGTACCCATCCACTGCCTCCCTCAACCTTCTTGAAGATTCCCAAGAGGAGTTTCTTGCAGTCCAGCAGCACATTCCCTCCCTCGCCCCCCTCTATCCTGACTTCCTCGGCGCTCTTGTCCTGCCTTGATGCTGACAACTGGATTGCAGCCATCTTCCAGGAGTGTGGGGCGTTTATTCGCAACGATTCCTTCGTCGACGTCCCTCACCCTGCCGATGCTAACCTGGTTGAAGGCAAGTGGATTTTCCGAGTCAAGCAACTGCCGGGCGAGGAGCCGGTCTACAAGGCCCGCTACATCGCCAAGGGCTTTACCCAGAATTGGGCTGTGGACTTTAAGCAACCAAGCCACCCACCTTTCGCACCGTCCTCAACATCGGCGCTCGTAACGACATGATAATTTGCTTCATGGATGTCTCCAATGCGTTCCTGCAAGGCGAACTGCACGAGCGCAACTTCCTCAAGCGACCTTTAGGCTTTCATGCTGCCTTTCCCTAGTACACAGTGTGGCAACTACGCCGCCCAATCTATTCCCTGAAGCAGGCACCAAGGGAATGGCATGCGAAGCTGTCTGACAGTCTGCGGTCCCTCGGTTTCTTTGCGTCCCACTCCGATGCCAACCTCTTCATCCGCTCCTCACCCCGTCGGTTCTTCATTCTGGTCTACATCGACGATATGATCCTGTTTGCTGATTCCAAGGCCCACATGGAGTAGGTGAAGTGATCAATGCAGGAGCGCCTCAAGTGCAAGGACCTTGGCGATGTGGAGAACTAAGCTCGGCGTGACCATTACTCGTGACTGAGCTGACCGCACCATCACCCTATCCCAGTTTCACTACCTCGGCCAGCCAGGTGCTGGAGAAGTTCGAGATGGCGCAGGCCAAGCCCGTCTCCAACCTCCTCCCCTTTGGTCATCAGCTAGCCCCACCAACCTCTCCCTCCTTCAGGCATGAGCAGAGGTCCCGCTCGGGCCGAGGCGTCCCAACCCGACCCGCAGTTTAGCCTGGGTCGGGTCAAAGGTTTCATTGGCCTGCCCCGTGCGGGCCGATCCGACCCGACCCGGGCGAAAACCCGACCCGAGCATAGAACTCGAGCCGAGTCGGGCCGGGTTTCAGGTCAAGCTTGACCCGACCCGAATTCGGGTCAGGACCAGAAGCCCGACCAGATTTCGACAGTCTGGGGTTGTAAACCCTAAACAAATTTGGTGTCGAGGGGAATTTGTTCCCCTCGACATCAAAATCACTCCCCACGCCAAATAGCCAAACGTCACCTAAGCTTAGTAACAAGGTACTGTTAGATCATCAACCTGCAGTTTAAGTAGATTGCGCTTGTGTGCTAGTGTAGGATGCAATTTCGCTATTTACTAGCGCGATTTCATCTACAGGCTGCACGGCTCGGCTTAGGCCCCTGATCGTTAATAGGCACGCCAATACCTAAGATAGGGGGTCGCGTGCAGAGTGTAAAGGGGCGGGTCAGCTTAGCCCGACCCGACCCAACGCGGAATCGGGTCAGTGCTGCCTCGAGTGTGTAGACCTGGGTCGGGTCAGAGACTCTCCACCAGCTTGGCCTGAGCCCAGCCCGACCCGACCTGACCTGGGAACCCAGCTGGCCTGGCCAAATCGGGTCAGGTTGGGTCGGGCCAGGCTGGGTCTATTGCCAATGCTTACCCCTCCTCCTCCTCTCGCCCCGATGCCGAGCTAGTCTGGTCGCTGATGTATGCCATGATGTGCACTTGTCCCAACCTCGCCTATCCCAACAATGTCCTTACTCACTTCGTGGGCACCAGCCGCCACACAAAGGAACACTGGACTGCAGCCAAACGTGTTCTCCGCTACCTCCGCGGCACTAAGGACCATGTCCTCACCCTTGGTGGCTCCTCTCCTCCCCTTCTCTCTGGCTTCAACGAATCCTCGTGGGCAGACTCACAACCAGACCGTCGCTCCTCGCAAGGATATGGCTTCACTCTTGGCAGCGGGCTCATTAGCTGACGCTCCACACGCTCTTCTGCCATTGCTCTCTCTTCCTGTGAAGCTGAGCTATACGCAGGCAGCATGGCTGCTTAGGAATCTCGCTGGCTCTGCTTTCTTCTTGCCGAGCTTGGTGCCCCCAACGTCGTCCTACTCTCTTGTGTGACAATGCCAGCACCATCCATCTCACCCATGACCCTGACTTCCATGGCCGTTCCAAGCACATTGAATTCCGCTACTTCTTCATTGGTGAGCTCCTGCAACAGGGTCTCATCGCCGTTCGCAAGATCGTTGTTGAGGCCAATTTGGCCGACATCTTCACCAAGGCGCTTCCTCGTCCTGCGCACTCCGCTCTGCTTCGCCTCATCGGCCTCGCTCCCCCTGGCGCTCCTTGATTAAGGGGTTGCTTCCCCTCTATCTCCTCAGCCCTTCCGCATCTCTGCAGGTTAAGAGGTTGTGTTTGAAATATTCTCCGCTTAGAACCTGCATATATGCTATAGGATAGGCTAGAGATAGGTGTACAATCAAGGGTCACCTCAGTTTAGGGGTTGGAACTCAGCCTTGGTCCAATCATTGGACCCTAAAGGTTGGGTTGGGAAGATTATTGGTCCCCCTCCAATAATGTTGACCCAACTCCAATATTGGTCAATATTATTGGACCCACCAATAATTTCCCAACCCAACTTATTGGTGGGGGACCAATAATGCCAGTATGGTTGCCAACCAACCCTCCTTCTAGCTCCACCTATGTATACCACCTCCTCTAATCCAACCATCACTTTCCCTTCAAAGCTCATTTCCCACAGTTAGCTTTGAGAGCTCCGTTTGTAGGGACATGAAATTGCTAGTGGTGGTTCTGCTAGAGATGGAAAACAAGGAAAATTGCCAAGATGCTGCAAAGATGGTAAGAGATGCTGTGCTGCTCTTTGATGGTGATCTTTGAGTCTCCTAAAGAATCACCTCAGTGCGATGGGTAGCAAGGAAAGCAGCAAGATGTTAAGGTGGAAGTATTTTCCATACGAATACGTTGAACTATCTAAGCTAAAAATGCAGGAATCAGATCCCAGCAATGCTGATGTAGGAAGTGCTGCTCCTTGCCATATTGTGTAACCTTATGCCATGCCACCGATACCTTTTTCTTCATCACATGTGCCTGCTGTCATGCTCCCATCATCATACCTCCAATGTCAGGAACCTTGGCTACAACTACTTGACAGGCCCTATTCCTGACTCCATTGGCAAGCTTATGAATCTGAACGCCTTGTGAGTGTGTCCCTTCTTGGTTTGACGTGTGAGCCAGGATCAAAGCTACTGTTTAGCGGAAACATTCTCTAGAAACAAAGGCGCAAAAAATAATAAAAAAGAAAAAAGAATAAGAAAAAAAGTTGCATGTCATGTTCTCATTCCTGATTTTGACTTGCAGCTGTGGCTGTCAGGGTCCTTGAGTTGACTCGTAGCAACCCTCTCCCACGTTGAGCCCTTAGGGCGTGGAGGTGTGTGCATTATACGCAACCAAAGTTCAACCAGTGTGAGGGAGGATTCGCAAGCTCACTTCAAGGTTCAAGCTGATGAGCCTGGAATTTGTAAACCTATGTCCAACATTTGCATGCATGGCAGCAAAGTAACCTTGCAACTCGCAACCAATCTCGCCGATCCGCGAATTGTCATTTGCGTCACATTTTGCTACTCGCCCTTGGTACATAAGAAAATGAGGCGATTGGTTACTCGCGTCGTCACGTTGTGCGTGTGCCTGCCTGCCTTTGATCCAAAACATCACTTTCCAGTTGACATCCCTTCTTGAATACTGATGATGTATGCAGACCTGGGAGCATTTTTTACCACAACCTACTTGATTAGATAAAATTAAAGATGTTTCCGATAGATGCTAAGCATCCTCTGTTCTCAGCATTGTTCCTTGACATCCCCGGGGTACAAATTGCAGATTTCTATGGGGAAACAAAATGACAGGGTCGATACCCACAGTGATAGGCAACCTTGTTTATTTGAGTGACTTGTAAGTTCTTTCATGAACAGTGAGGCATTTTCTTCGTTAGCCTCTAAATATTATCTGTAGTAACACTAAGTCATCGACACACATGCCTTCGTTTCACACTTCACTGTTCACTTGATATATTCTAGATTCACATGATTCAATGTATAGTGATTTCCTTCTTTGCTCATGATTGTATAGGTTGATTCAACACATTTATTACCTGTCTTGTTTGTAGTACGTACAACATGGTCTTCTGAAATTTCTTCCCTGCTACTGTCGTGTCTGCACCAGGTTCCTTTCTTGGAACAACCTGACTGGCAGCATCCCAGAGTCCATTGGCAACCTCTTGCAGCTCACAACCTTGTAAGCACACCCATTGTTTCTTGAGTTGAAAGCACACCCATTTCCTCTTGAGCTGAAAGCACACGCGTTGTCTCTGGAGCATTACCCGACCCAACCCGACCCGACCCAACCGGATCTGACCCAACTCGACCGGACCGACCCTACCAGGCCCTACCCCCTCGGGTCAAACCCCAGTCGGGGCGGGTTGGGTCAAACCGTTGCTCAGCTCTATGCCAGGACTTCACAAAGGTGGCGACTTCTGACTCGACTCAATAGTCGCCTCTCAAAAGTCAGCCCTATGCCTCGCCTTGGACCTTAATTGGATTGGAAACGAGGAACAAAATCACCACTTTCCTCCAGCTGGCTTCAGGTTAACTGATAGATGGGTTTTTTGGTTGACTCGATCATTATCCTCCCTATAATGTCCATTTCCCTTCAAGAACACACAAGACAAAAGGATTGACCACGTCTATCAGGACAACAGAGTTTCGCAAACGAATTTCTGTGTTTTGTGACAAATGTAACCGACCATGTGTTTGCAACCTCTTTGTATGTGCAACCAACAATGCTCCACATGCAGGGAAATCAGAGGAACCAATCTGTCAGGACAACTCCCTCCAACTCTGGGCAAACTCTCCAAACTTAGTCCATTGTAAGTTTTGTTTTTTTTTTTTTCCCGCAAAACTATGAATTAGAAAAATAAAAGGCTCTGTTCTTGTTTGCCCTAAGTGCTGCACGCCGAGCATACAGAGCCCATCTTCTCGATCTTCTAGGGAGCACCCACGTGCATAGAACTTTGCTGGTTTTTTAGTCGAATACCCAGCCACCCAGCAAGCGCCAACTTTTTCGCTAGCA